GTTGAAGTATGTGCGGGAGGGAGTGACTATGGCCAGTCCCCTTTCTGGAAGTTTAAAGCTCATGGCACCCTACCCCGCGGCGAGTCCTCTCCCTCAACACCGGGCTCGCCTGGGGTCGATGGAGAAGAGGTCGGCGGGCAGGGGTGTGTGGCGGCGCGTGAAGAGCCAGAGCAGGCCCAGCGTGACGCCGGTGCCCAGCATCTGGTTTAAAAGGATGAACAGCGCCTTCACGTCCATGGGCAGGGAGCCGACGGAGCTGCCCAGCGTCCAGCGCAGGAGGGTGACGGAGAAGAGTCCGGTGGCGGCAAAGGTCAGGCTCCATGAAACCAGGCCCAGGGCGGTCTCCCCAAGGCCCCAGGGCACCTGCGCCATGGCACAATTTTGAGGGTTGAGGGAGACAGAGGGCGGAGGATGGGTTCGTGTGGGGCGTCATGATCAGGCTCTGGGACAGGGCACGGTCCTGAGATGACACTCATGTGTGGGGCCTGGCCTCAGACATGACCTTCACATGGGGAACGCCTGCGGTCGTGTGGAGCATCCTTGCTGTGCCCATGCCACACAACTTGATACAAGGCCACACACTCACGTCCCAGGGTTGAAGGTACGCCCGGAGGTCCAGGGGCCCATATGTGCCCTGGGCCGAGGAGGAAAGTGGGCCAGGGGCTGGCATCTTCTGGGGAGGGAGGCCATGGCATGCTCTGCCATCAAAAGCATCCAGCAACCTTCTCAGACCAGCTGTAAGCCCCCAGAGATCCTCACCGGCTCCTTCTCGGGCGGCGGTGGCGGCGGCGACGGCCTCCTGCCTGGCGCACTCTGCTGCCGCTTACCCTGAAGGCTGGACTTGAGTTGGTCCTGTAGGGTGGCCACTGGCGACTTGGAGCCTGGGCTCCTGTCTTGCCTCTCATCTGTTCAATTGAGAAGGGGCATGCGTGATATCTTACACTCCCTAGATCATGTGATTGCATAGCACATCCCGCTTCTTGACCGGCTGCAACATCCGATGATTGCACCCCAGCCATGCGCATGGCGCATGCACAGCGCCCCATGCGCACTCTGTGCTCGGAGCAACGAGACGCCGCATCTTCGCCGCCATGAGACAGGACCAAATGCTGGACGTAGATGCTGAGAGGACAGGGAGGGCATTGGCAGCTGGTGCGCCGCTGGGCATGCCCGTGCGCTCGGCATTCCTGCTGCCACAGGCATAGGGTCGGCGATGGGGCACTCGCGACTGCGTGACGGATCCGTCAACCGCGATGATATCAATGCTGTCTGCGCTCATCATGCCGAGTGCGCGTCATGCCATGCATGCATCGCTCCATCCCTGGCCTGGACTTGCCGCATGCCGTCGTGTCACTGGACGCGGTGCGGTAGTCACCCCTCAAGGTTGCGGCGCGCCCACCTTGCAGGGCACTCAGTCTCCTGCTCGAGTGCCAATCCAGACCATTTCCCACCTTCTGCTAATGCACCGCCATCCAAACGTCTTTGCAGCATTCATCATATCGTTTTGGAGACAGGTAGAGGGATCATCGCTGACGCATTGGTGTCGCAAGCACAGGCATCCGGCACATGCCCGCCGTGCTAGCTGGCCCGGGGCCTCGTCGCCGTCAGGGCGCCTGCGCCGCCCCCTCTGGCGCGCTGGCCGTCAGTGCCTCCGGCCGCACCATCTCCACGCTGATGCACCGCAGCACGTCCCCCGGCCTGAAGTGGGAGAAACCCGTCAGCGCCACGCCGCACTCGCCGCCCTTGCCCACCGCCTCCACCCCCAGCTTGACGCGGCGCAGAGAGGCGCAAGGCCCTTCGTGCACCAACTCCCCCGCGCGCAGCACGCGGAAGGTGTGGCTCGCGCGCAGGCTGCCCTCCTGCACACGGCACCCCGCCACCACTGCCGCCTCGCGACCCCTGCGATGGTTGTTGGGGTGAGTTGTGTGGGATGGGTGAGTTGTGTGGGATGGGTGAGTTGTGTGGGATGGGTGAGTTGTGTGGGACGAGCGGGGTTTGGGGCGAGCGGGGTGTGCGGCGAGCGAGGTGCGGCGAGCACTCTGGGGTGAGCGCAGTCGGGCCTCGGCAGCTCGGAGCCACGTGTCCGAAGCGGGGCGCATAGGCCGCTCATGTCTCTGTCATCCTCTCTCATTCCCAGGACAAGGGGGGGCGTCCTCCGGCACAGCAAAGCACCGCGTCGGGCGTCCAGAACCGCATCGTGGAAGAGGTGCTCCCCCCACAGAGCATGCCGCCCCTGGCGCTGCATGGCCCCTGTTCTTGCGGAAGACATCGCCCCCCCCCCCCCAACTCCCTTTGTCGGAGACCATTCTCCCACCGCGCCCAAAGCCACTTTGCACGCACCATGAATGGCCCCCCTCCATCACACACACACAGCACTCATCCCCCGACCACCTGGTGGCCTTGACATCGAAGACCTGAAGCACGGCGGCCTCGCCCGCCACCACCTCGCGCTCGACGCGAGGCGCCTCGCCCAGCATCACCTCCCCCAGCTCCTCCAGCAGCTTGTAGATGACGTCGTGGCGGTGTAGGGTCAGGCCGTGGCGGCGCAGCTCCGCGTCGACGGCCGCGCCGGCGGTGCGCACGCCAAAGGCCACGACGCGCGCGCGCAGGGGCACCGCCAGCTGCACGTCGGAGGCCGACACGGGGCCCACCCCGGCGTGCACCACGCGCAGTTCCAGCTCACGGCAGGAAAGCGCGGCGAGGGCGTCGCACACCGCCTCCACCGACCCAGCCACGTCGGCTTTGACGATCAGGGGGACGACGGAGCGCGTGGGCGGCGGCGCGGCGGCGGCCTCCGCCGCCGCGGCGGCGGACACCAGCCCCCCCGCTGCGCGCAGGCCGCCGCGGACGGAGCGCTTGCCGCGCATGCCGCTCGTGGCGGGGGCCAGCGCGACGGCG